TTACATGTCAACCATGTCAGAAAAGTGTCAGATTTGAGAACTCGTCCCGTGTATTGATAAAGCCTGGTACTCATAAAAGCGAAATTCGCTCTTTTTTCAACGTCAAATTGTCGATGCAATGTCAAAAAAGAGCAAATTTCGCTGTTATGAGTACTAGGCTTAATCCTGCCAAAAAAAAACATGTGTTTTGTTTATTGTTTGCCAACCAGACGCCATTTGGACAGGTCGTTGGATTGCCTAATTCCAACATTTCCAACCTCATTTTTCCGTAATTTTTACTTCTATTTTTCGTAATTCCAACGTCACTTTCCAGCAATTTTGACACTCACTTTTTCGCAATTTTTGAAAAGTTACGGAAAATTGCAGGAATTACGAAAAATTACTGGAATTATAAAAATAAAGAGAATTACAAAAATTATAGGAATTATGAAAATCACGAATTTTTGAAATTATGAAAATTACAAAACTTGGGGAGAATTTAAAAATAACGAAGTTTTTTAAAAAATTAGGAGAATTAAAAATAAGTACAAAAAATTACGGGAATTACGAAAAAATTATGATTTTTGAAGTTATGGGAAAATTACGAAAAAGTTATGGGGGAATTACGAAAATTATGAGTTTTTCGAAAATGCAATAACTAAGGAAAAATTGACTTTTTTAAGCAAAATTCATTTTCTTACATTTTATTGTTTTTCTAGAAAACTGGCAAAAGAATAATTGTGGAAATTTTTCAGAAAAAAGAGGAAAGTGAGGATCTCATTAAAACAAAATTTCAAAATTTTCCAGTAAAAAATCACTTCAGGAAAAATTCTGGAAAATTGACTTATTTAAGCAAAATTAAGGAAAATTCATCCTCTCACATTTCAATTTATTTCTGGAAAACTAATAAAGCAAAAGTTGTGAAATTTTTCCAAGGGAAAGAAGAAAATAAGGAGCTCATTATAGGAAAATTTCGAAATTTTCCAGTGAGAAATCACTTGGAGTGGAAAATCGACTTTTTCAAGTAAAATTAAGGAAAATTCATCCTCTCACATTTTTTTTTTTTGGAAAACTAGCAGAAGAAAAATTTTGAAATTTTTACAGGAGAAAGAGGAAAGTGAGAAGTTCATTATATGTATGTATAAAAATTTTAAAATTTTCCAGTAAAAAATCATTCCAGTGTACTTATTCTTGAAACAGGGGAGCAGCGTTCCCGGGAGAACGAGTGCTCCGTCTTTCTCAATGATATGAAAATGATAATATAAGGAACAAAGACGGAACACTCGTTCTCCCGGGAACGCTGCTCCCCTGTTTCAAGAATAAGGACACTCTGAAGAAATTCTGGAAAACTAACTTTTAACCAAAATTCATTTTTTTAATTTTAAATTTTTTCTGGAAAACTGGCAGAAGGAAAATTTCAAAAATTTACAGTGAAAAATCACTCTAGGAGAAATTTTATTTATATATTTTCGGATAACTGAATAAATTCTCTTCTAAGTTAAAAAATGTATTACAAAACAATAATTCCGAAGGTGCTCCATGAATTAATCTATGACATAACTTTTTCTCTAAGTTATGACATCATCGATGACGTAAGTAAAAACTTGCGTGCCGTGAAACAAACTATATGTTTGTTTGAAATTTCAGACATAAAAAAATCAATTTTTTTTTAAAAAAAGGCAAATGATGACGTAAGTATAAACCCTCGTGAAACCAACTTTTCACGCGTCTCATTTTCTTTCCATCAAACTCCAAAAAAAAAAACAAAAAATGGTGCTGCAACACCCCTCAAATTTGGAGCCTAGTTGCGCTTATGCTACTCGCTTTGGCCAATTTTGCGTACGTTTCTGGGGAAAGTTATTAAGGCATTAAAAATTTGCACTTTCCCCCCCGTTTGTCGAAAAATTAAAAGATCCTATGCTTGTCTCCCCACTCTCCCCCCCCCTCGTTTTTCAAAAAGTTGAAAAATCCTTATGCTACTAGGTTCACCTAATTTTGCACAACTTTGCACACCTATTTTCAAATTTTGCAAAATGTGCACTTTTCCGCCGGTTTTTTGAGAAAATTAAAAATTTTTATGTTACTCAATTCGGGTTGAAAATAAACGTACAAAATTGAGTGAACCCAGTAGCAAGGGTTTTTCAATTTTTTGACAAACAGGGAAAAAACGTGCAAATTAATACAACATTCAACTCCCAGAGGAATGTGTAAAATTAAAAATAAGGTGTGCAAAATTGTGCAAAATTAGCCGAAGCGAGTAGCATAAGAATTTTTCAAGTTTCAGATAAACGGGGAAAAAGTGCACATTTATCACACCTCATAACTTTTCCCAGAAGAGTGTGCAAATTTTGAAAATAGGTGTGCAAAATTGTCCAAAATTAGATGAAACGAGTAGCATAGGCGTCTATCAATTTTTTTAAAAACGGGTGGGGTTATGCAAATTTTTGATACGATATAACTTTCCCTAGAAAAGTGTGCAAATTTTGAAAATCGGTGTGCAAAATTATGGGTTATTTATTTTTGAAATTTGTCTATTTGTCGAAAAAACCCAATTTTCAAAGACGGGGGTAGTCCTGACAACCTGTTCACCTCTCGACCTGTCATATTTTGACAGCTGTCAAAAATTACATTTGAGTGTTGAGTATTCCAAATTGTATTATCATCCGAACTTAAACTGTATGCAAAATTTCAGCAAAATCTATTGCGAAGAAATGGTTCACAAATCTGCATCTGTTACATTTGACAGCTAACACCTGTCATCAGTGGTCTAAAATGTATTATCATCCGAACTTAAAGTGTATGCAAAATTTCAGCAAAATCCGTTGCGAAATAATGGTTCAAAAATCTGCACCTGTCACATTTGACAGTTGACACCTGTCATTAGTGATCTAAAATGTATTATCATCTAATCACCTGAACTTGAAGTGTATGCTAAATTTCAGCAAAATCCGTTGTGAAGATATGGTACAATCTGCAACTGTCTTAATTTGACAGTTGACACCTGTCATTAGCGGTCTAAAACCTTCTTATTATTATTGCCTTTCATATTAAACATTAAACTGGTTTGAGGCACATCGATCGGATAGTTTCAAAGTCTATAACGGACATAGGTAGACTCACAGACAGACAGACAGACAGAAACAATTTTTGTGCTTTATTCCTCTATTTATTAGTAACAGAAAATTACTACCCACAAAAATACATAACTATTTACCTATTTATTATTTTTTTTAAATTATAAAATATTCCTATTCTATGGTAGGTATATGTATAATAAGTACCTATATAAAACACAGGCATTTAATTTGTTATACAAAAGACAACTTGGCAACGCAGCCTAGCAAATCCGCGTGCATTTAGTGTTTTAAATTAATTTAATCGCAGAAACGACTGATTTTACTAGGACACTATCGGCATCACGCAGGTTTATATTTTCGCCGCCGGACGGTTCTTCTAGAGACGTTAGTCTATAATATTCTTTGGTTTAGGTTGTTAACACTACATGCCAAATATAGAAATCTTCTATCAGCGATTTCGATTTGTGGAATAAGTGCAAAAAAAATATATCCCCATCCTTATATTTTACATGCTTTTAGAAAAAGACGCGGGATACACTCAGTGCGCAGCGCACTAATTGACAAATGGAAATCGCCATAGGTCTGTTTCTGCAAAAATCACAAACCAGTCGGAGTGAATTTCATCATCACAAAACAGTCAGAAAACTAGTTTCAACCAGTTTTCTGACTGTTTTCAACCAATGAACTTCGCTCTGACTGGTTTGTGATTTCTGCAGAAACAGACCTCATATAAAATCGCGAATGACAGTTCGATGGCCATCAGTCAGCCAGTGTTACCAACTTCCGATAAGTAAAAAAGGAGTGTGACAAAAAGCTTCTTTTTCTATTATGGTGTCATATCGAAATCTTTTCGACACTAAAAGTAATTTCGAAAAGAAGCTCTTTGTGACACTCTTTTTTTACTTATCGGAGGTTGGTAACACTGGCTGACTGATGGCCATCGAACTGTCATTCGCGATTTTAAAATAGAAGATTTCTATATTTGGCATGTAGTGTTACCAACCTAAACATATTGAATCAGGAAATATGAGAATAAAATTTCCAAGAAAAATTTGTTTTTTTTAATTAAACAATACCAAAATAGAAAAAATAGTATAAAATATTCGTTTCATAAGACATTTTATCGCACTCGCCCTTTAGATAAAATGACGTCTTATGAAACTTGTATTTTAATGTACTATTTCGAAACTACTTTTAGTGTCGAAAAAACTTCGATATGACATCAAAATAGAAAAATGTTTGTTTAAAATTTATACTACCTATCCAGGCATACGGGGGGGATAAAATCGTAAACAAAAATTGAACGAGGGTTGCTCTAGTGCTGCCCGAATTTAGCAATCGGAAACACTATAAAATAGACGTTTTTGGGCGTGGCATCCGGAAAAAAATTTTCGCCCACCCCCTTCCCCTATAAACAAATTTATAAAGTTATTTATTATTATCCTGCACCCATGAGGACTTTCAAAAGTCGGCGCCGCTGCACGCGCCTGCTTTTAGACGTGAGAGCGACTCGATATTTGAAGTTTACGAATCAAGATCACCTTGATGTTAGCTCTATTCGCAATCAAATTTACGACGAAAAGTGAGTAGTTTTTTTTAGATTGTGTTCATAATACACTATCTATACATATAAAAATCGATGTTTGTTTGCTTTAGTGAATTTACTAGACCAGAGCCGTTTTCTCGCGTCCACTTTTTTCAAAACAGGTTTGTAACGGGCAATGGTAACACCGTTGCCGTTTCAAAAAATGTTTCGAACCAATGTCAAAAAAGTGGATGCAAGAAAACGGCTATGGTATGTCAAAGTAAAACAAAAGGTAATAGCGGCAACATTGCGACGTTTTTATGTCATTAATTTTGATCACGTGCATACACTGTTTAATTAATTTCACTATATTTGATGTTTCTTGGTAATAATTCTATTTAGAAATCAAAATCTAATACCTTTGACAGTAATAACATCCGTGTATGGGGGTCCAAGGAGGTCCGTGAGGCAAAGAAATACCCAGAAAATGATTCCATAGCCAATTAATGTACTCCAACCAATCTTCTTGGTCATATTGTTCGAATTTGTGAAAAAAAAATATTTGGTTGTTCTTTTCAAATGACATATGAATGACGTGGACGTAACGTTTTGATGCTGACATATTATGATTATAGCGTAGTTCACACAGAATATGATGAGGATCGCGAATTGCGAATGCCAAATTCGTTGTCGTTTTTCAGCCCCTTCGAAACGAACTAACTTCGTAATCATTCTACACCATTTCAACATCAATTTCGGAAAAAGTAACTTTTATTTAGGAAAATGTCAAGTCATTTCCGGAAAAAGTCAAATTAATTTCAGAAAAAGTAAAGTTAATTTCGGAAAAAGTAAATTCAAATTCGGAAAAAGTAAATTCAAATTCGGCAAAAGTAAGCTATGAATGAATTTACATTTTCCGAATTTGAATTTCCTTTTTCCGAAATTAACTTTACTTTTTCCGAAATTACCATTACTTTTTCTGAAATTGATTTGAGTTTTTCCGGAAATGACTTGATATTTTCCTAAATAAAAGTTACTTTTTCCGAAATTGAGGTTGAAATGGTGTAGAAATATTTTTTTTTGTCATACGCTCCCAAAAACAGCTATTTTACGGACTCATTCAAGTCCGTAAAATGCTTCTTTTTTGGATTTTTTTTTTCTTCCTGGATGTACCTTTATGATTTCAAAAATTAAGGAAATTTTGTAAATTTTAGCGTTCTGAAGAATTCTAAAAGGCGTATGACGAAAAATAGTGTTTGTCACACCTACCTAACGAAGTTTTTCAGGACTCATCTGCTATTCCGGACTCGGCTAACGCCTCATCCGGAAACAGCAATGATTCGTCCTGAAAAAATTCATTTTAGGTACTTGTGGCAAAAATAACTATTTTAAATTTTAAATAGTAAAGACCGTTATTGTTTGTAAACATTGTGTTGATGTAACGTATTATTTTATTTTATGTAAATTTTATCTGTGTGCCGTAAATTGTGCCTGCTTTATGGAAATTTTGTGATAATATATAAGTTTTATTCCTATTTTATATATTTTAACCATTTTAACACCCTTATATTTTTAACTTACTAGTTTTCCCTTGACAATGGTTTAACAACCGAAACGCGTCGGGATTAATAGAAATATACAATTTGTGAAGTTGAAAAAAGGACTTTCATTTTTCATTTTGCCCTGCATAATGTTGCTTCTTCCTGAAGATATCCTCGATAATCATAATTTAATTTATTATTACATAATTATTTTTCGCTTCCTGCAGAGGGGAGTACCTGTGGGAGTATACTATTCTCAAGTACCTACTCGCTCTCTCTTATTTTCGCTGATGTCATAATGCCTATTCGAAAGAAGACATGAAAAGTAGAAGTTTTGTTGATAAAAAGAATAGGTTTCTATGTAAGTAAAGGCAGTAGTTGAGAGAGCAAGTTTATAAATACCTAGGTACATACATTGATTACGTAAATCTAAATCTGAATAAAAAGTTGAGAAGTCTTGCAGTCATTCAAACAAACTCCAATATCAAGAATGTTTTCTCATCAATTTAGCCAATTTCCACTGTGTATGTACCTACACCATGTTTCCAACTTTACGGCTTTTCCGGCACTAAAAAGCAATTACATCGTAACGCCCCTGGATAACATCTTCACCGCTACTCCCATAACAACAACCAACAAACAAACCCGCCAGAGTAAATAACCCAAGCAGGCGGCAGCAGCACCAGCACGTGGACCACCAGACGCAAAAACCAACAAGTTCGTCGCGCACCTCCCCCACAAAGGTCCCAAACCAAAAGCTCTTGGAGAGACCGCTTTTCAGCTTTCAGCGAAAGCTTTATTGCAGCGCAGCCTGTACGTCGGTCGGAGCGCTCCAGTGTCGTTTTCTCACGGAATTCCACCCCCACGTGCTCGCGTATTTTCGTGTTATCCTGCAGGATTGTAGAATTTCAATTTAATTTTGCTTACCTTTACATTTTTAAATTTGACTTTTTTTTTGACGAGAAAAATATCAAAATGTCTTCGTTGATTGTTTCCGCTTTTTTCCTGCAACTGTTGTGCGGTGCGGTTTTTGGTGGTAGTTGCAGGGAAGCGAAATTATGTTGTACCGGTCGCGATTCGTCTTGTGTGGTGCAAAAGGCCCCGATGAATGCAATTATTGAGGATTTGAGCGATAAGCCTTGCTACTGTGACCATGCTTGCTTAAAACTGGGAGATTGCTGTACGGATTTCAAAGAAGCTTGTGGAGGTAAGTTTCAAAGTGATAAATGAATATTTTTTTTTTTTCAAAAATATTTACAAGCCCTACGAGAAAACATTCTACTCTACTTTGAAAATAGCAGCATCAAAGAATATATTTAGTCAATTTATTTTACCTACCCATTCTGAAAACATGATAAAAACTAAAAAGACAAGAAAAACAAGTTTTTGGTTTTTGGGTTGAGGGTAGTAGGTTCAATTGTCAATAATTTTTTATTGGGCTCGCGTCACAACTCAGTGGGAGAGGTGTATTTCTGTTAGCAAGTAATCCTGAGTTGAAACGAAACTTTCTGACCTTTTTAGTATCTTTTTAGCTGTTTTATTAACACCACTTTCTGTTTCCTGTTGGGATCGTGGTAAATCTTGATATTCTGCTGTGTTTGTCAGACTTGTAATAAATAGTCTTAAAATTTTCTTCCACCAAGATCTTCTGTGCGAATAGGTAATGGAGTTCTGCAGAGAGCATCGGGTCCAGTAAGTTCTGTTCCAGAAGTTTAGAAGTTTCATTCTAAAATTTTATAATGAAAATATAATTATTAGGTTTTTTTGTTAAAATTTCCCCCAGATAATCAAATCAGTTCTAATTTCAAATGGTTTTTCCAATAAATACGATATTTCTAAAGTTTCTTTTTCAATTTGACTGTAGCGTTTTTGACTCAGAACTCAGGATATAGTTCTACAATTTCCATCTGGTTATTTTCGCTCAATTATTCCTCCTGTGTCTAGCATAAAAAATATCTGTAGATACTCTAATGTCATATATTTACCATTTAATAGTTATTTATACAAAATTTTATTCCATTTTGTGAAAATTTTAAAAATAAAGTGGAATGAAAAATGCCGGAAGTGAGTTAAAAATATTTTAAATCACTGAGGTTTCAAATTTTTAGTTGTGCAGAGTGACTTAAAATGCCGAAACTGAGTTAAAATGTTTTTAAATCACTGAGGTGATAAACGTCTACTTATCTTTATTGTTATGCGTTCAATAATGTCATTTTTAAACGTCAAAATGGGATAATAGTTATTTATATACCAAGTGAGTTAAATGCATTTTTATTCATGAGAAGAAAGTTTAACCCACGAGCCCTAGCGAGTGGGTTAATTTTCTTCGAATGAATAAACATTTTAACTCACGTGATGTTTACAAAATTTTATCCCATTTTGTGAAAATTTTAAAAATAAAGTAGAAGAAAAAATGCCGGGAGTGAGTTGAAAATATTTTGAATCACTGAGGTCTCAGATTTTTAGTTGGGCAGAGTGACTTAAAATGCCGAGAGTGAGTTAAAGTGTTTTTAAATCACTGAGGTGATAAACGTCTACTTACCTTTATTGTTATGCGTTCAATAATGTCATTTTTAAACGTCAAAATGGGATAAAATATACAGGGTGTCACGAAAGGTTTGTTACAAACTTCTAGGGATGGTAGATCTCGTGATAATTGAGCTTTTTTTTTCAATAAACATGTGTCCGAAAATGGTTCGTTTTCCAGATACCGGGTGTCAAACTTTGTCAAAAAAAGTCAATTTTATTATTAATTCTAAGAAATGCGTGCGTTTTAGAAAAAAAAATTCTTGTAATTTTTTGTATATTTTTAAGCAACAAATAGGCTGGTAAAATTTCAGGTAATTCAGGGGCAAATTTATTTTTCATTTATGTAGGTCAGTCACGTTCGTGGTTCGCCTAAATTAGTTTTTAGATTTTATCTCGAAAACAAACCAGCATACGGAAAAAAATTAGGAGATAAAAAAGGTGTATCTTTGAGTGTTTTATTCAAAAAACATATCCTAGTTGAAAATAAATCCACTTGGCGATGTTTTTCGTGCAAAAAACCATCCCACATGACCTGTGGGCACGCCCCTGAAATTACTGGGTCAACTCTGAGCAGTCCAAAAGATACCCCATGAGGGTGTCAAAAAACTGTGAAAATATCATTCAATTCGTCCAACGCATTTCTAAGAATTTTTTTTTTTTTTTTTTTTACAAATTTTAAGACCCTGTATCTGGAAAGCGAAGCATTTCCGGAGATATGTTTATTTAAAAAAAAGCTTAATTTTCACGAGATCTACCATTCCTAGAAGTTTGTAACAAACCTTTCGTGACACCCTGTATTATTGGCATGCTCGGTTACAGAATGAACTCCAAAGCCGTTTATAATCTAATTTTTGAAAAATGTCTGGCAAAGAACATAGTCCAAATGGACAAGTTTTATAGACAAATCTACCGGAAGGACGAAAGTTTCGAAAATCCGGAAAGTTTGAACTGAGTGGAAGGAAACCTTTTGAAAAATTCTAGATTTGAAAACCAAAATTCCATTTTCTATTTTGACTAACCTCTACTCAACTTGTTCAATCAAACTCATGATTTACCTATTAGGTACCTGATGGTACCTGGACTACCTCAAACAAAATATAAAGAAGATATACATGGACGATTGGTGGGTAGAAACGAAGAAACAAAAGAAAAGACTATTAAATAATTAATAATAATCAATAATAATTTTTGTAAAAAAGTTAATAAACCACGTACATTTTCTGAAGACTCCTTGTGCAATCAATCAAGCATACTTTATTGGTCCTTCGATGCTCGAACCTTATTAGATTATTTCAACGCAACACAACTAACGTTAACTGATAAAATTATTTTTCTACAAACGTCACTAAAAGTGTCATTTTTAACGGATGCTGTCAGTGTCTAAAATGCGATTTTATGACACTGGTGTTAAAAGTGATTACTTTTAGCACTAGTGCTAAAAGTAATCACTTTTAGTGCGTTTGTAGAAAAAAATGTGTATGATATTCGTACTAAAAGTGATTTTATTTTGTTCAAAGGGATGTCCGGCGTCATGTCCCAAACTTTCACAAAATAAAATGTCACTTTTAGCACTTATATCATAAATAACTATTTTTAACAAATTTGTTTAGATTAGTATGATCTAGGTACACATATTCAAATTTTTAACATGACCCTTAACAGTTACTAATAAACATCCTAATACTGTCCGCAATCCAATCCAAATTTCATTTATGTTTCTATCCAGAAATTTACTGAGTTGATTACCTGCATCTATGACTGTGACTAATGTTTCGAATTCTCCATCTATTGAATACATCAAACTTCAATTAATTCTCTTACAAAGGCTTTAATTTCAATTTACATAAGTATCATCAGTTTTGGATCTATTGGCGTTGGACATAATCTACAATCTTCAAGATTAAATCCTTTCAATATTCCCTGCGAAGATCGCTTTTGAATAATTCCCAAAATTCCCTGTTCTCTGTCATAATTGAACTTCAGTTTATAGTCCAGGTGGTAGTGAAATTTTTTAGCACTTATTTTCCCAGTTGGTGTATATCAAATGGTTTGTTCTTTTGGTGATTCAAAACAAGAATATTTGAGTTTCGCAAAAATTTTCGGATGGGTTTACAAGATCAATGAAAAATACAAGTACACTTATTTTCCCAGTCATAATTACTTCACATTCACTACAATAGAACATAAAGTATATGGAAATAGTAATTTGGCTTATCTCAGATAGTGGAAAGTGAGTCTGGCTGAAATTTTTCGGATCTTCAATTTTTCACTTGCCAGACGTATTATCCATACTCACAGATTAGCCGGACTAATTTTTTACGTAACTTCAGTATACTTCTCATTAGTAGACCTATTTTCATCACTGGAAAAAAAGAGGGCCGTGCATTCGTGAGCTCTAACGCATTTTGCGCCTCAACCCATCGGAAAACCCCCCCTAAAAATACACTCAGTTCCAAAAAAAGTGACGCACTTGATTTTGATCTATCATTAAAAAAAAAAAAATTGTGTGCCGATTTTTAATTTTTTTAAATTTGTTGGTAGGTAGTTAATTCATTTGTCTTTGAAAAAAAACTAGAGAGATGGAAATTTTCTCAAAGCTGCCTGGATGGTAGTGGAAAGACTGAAACCATGATATTTTCTCAATTTTTGTCTCACCCTGTGTGTTAATCAAATAATGATATAAAAAGTGCTTACACCCTATATGAAAGATCCTTCTTTTACGAGAATTTTCTTTTTTTTTATTCATTGATTTATCTCTAAAAATACCTGAATTACAGCTTTTCTGCTGAAATCTTGCATATTACCAACTGAATTTATCGAAAAGTTCTCTACTGAAATAAACTGATACAAATTTTTTCAAACATTTTTATTAAACACAAAATTTTAAATTGGGAAAACTGCCTAATACCGTGTATTGCCTCCCCTAGCAACTCTAAAGTGCTTCTAATCTACGCGGCATACTGGAAATCAGGTTTCGTATCGTTTTCATTGGTATGCGATCCCATTCTTCTACTAATGCATCTGCCATTTCTGCAAGACTTTCCGCGTACCTCTCGCGAAAACGTACCCTTCTTCCTAATTCATCCCACACATGTTCTATCGGGTTCATATCGGGGCTTCTCGCAGGCCACTGTAATGTGATGGTACCCGCAGCTTCTAAGAAGTTTCGCACTAATGCTGCGGTGTATGGTTGGGCATTATCCTGCATCAATATAAAATTCTGCCCACTAACTCTGCATGGGGTAAGACATACTGTCGTATAATGCCGATGTAGATTTGGGCTGTCACCGACTGCCTTACTAGAAAAACATGAAGCGATGTCGTTCCATTTATTGAAATACCTCCCCACACCATAACCGACCCACCATTAAAATTTTCGCGTCCTGTCATCAAATTTTGACCAAACCTTTCATCAGTCCTCTTCCAGATTCTTTTTCTTCCATCCACCATGTTCAGGCAAAACCTTGACTCATCCGTAAACAAGACATTCGACCATTCAGAAATATTCCATTCTCCATAATTTTCAACAACATTTCTTCTATATAGCAGCACGATGTTCGGGCGATAACTTAGGACCTTTTGCAGGTCTCCTAGCTTTTAAATTAACTTCTTTTAGACGTCTACATACCGTCTACTTACTCACTGCAACACCACGAATTTGGCGAAGATCTTGCTGAACATTTACCGCAGTATATAATCGATTCCGTAAAATCCGCAACCGTAAGAAGCGATCATCTCTTTGAGAAGTTTTTCGAGGGCGACCAGAACCCACCCTTCGAGCAATACTTCCT